ACAAGAGTCTACGTCTTGCTTGCGCCCCAGGATGTTAAACGCCCACCATTCGAAGGTGAAACAGCACTGGCACGACTTGCCTGCGGCTGGGTGACACCCGCTGTTGCCGAAGCCTGCGCATGGTCTGAATATGTCCGACTGCAGTCTGGAAACCCGTCAGAGCCAAACGGGCCGGAAAGCCTGCACGTTCGCAAGCTGCTTCTTGAACTCCTGCGACAAGTGCCAAGGCTGCAACACGTCGCAAGCGTGTAGCTACCGGGTACCGAGTATCACAATTGCAGCTGTGTGTAGCGGATCGCGACTGGAATCAATCCTCGCGGGAAATGCCGCCGTCGGCATTGGTATCGAAGGTGGCCCACAGCCTTGCCAGAACATGGAAGCTGCTGTCGCAGATGTTGGTTGTGCTCGTGCGACTGTTTTTCTTGAGACGCGAGCTGCTGTAGCTGCCACTCTTCCAAGGAAGGCCTCATCTGTTCGGAAAAGTTGTTTCCCCGTCGTTGTTGAAGCAGTTGCAGTGCCCCCTAGAGGGTCGGGCTCGATTTGCGCAAACAGCGCCCGGAAGTCCGGCCAACGTACTTCCTGCCCACCACCCGCCTGAAAGTCTCTGCGAAGTCGTGACCGACGGCTACTGCAACTTTTCGACTGGCATGTGCTCTTGGGCGGCGGCGAGGGCGTCGAACAGCGCGTCCGGTGTCTGGCCCTGCACTGAAAGACTGGTTAATGTTTGCAGCAACGGGTTCTGAAAGCGTGGGTGTTGTGAAAGCAGAGCCTTGCGGCGCAAGGCGTCGTTGACACGCGAGCAGATTTCCTACAGATTCACACTGACACGTCTTGAGGGGTCAAGACAAGCCGTTACATCGAGGGGGCGCCTGCAGCGAGTGTGCCGGGCGAGCCTGGCGATGTTCAAATAAATTGTTTTTCACGAGCTTCTACAAGTATTCTAGATAGATCTAATCTGCGTCACCTGAAAGGGTGGGATTTGGCCTGAGCCCGATGCTAGAGCTTCAGCAGCTTACAGAAGGTAGGCTACCCACGATCAAAGCACTGACCTGCTAGACGTGGGCTACAACTCACAGGCATCTACGAGGGCTGGGCTGAGGTTGCTGCCATGCCGATGCTCAACCTGCGCTCCTCCAGCAACTTGCTGCCATCCGAAACTGAGCAGAGCTGCCCAAGTCCCATCTCCTGCTGGGCACACAGGTCCCGAGCTTGGCAAAGATTGGCCCAAGCCTCGGAATCTGCGGCGGTGCCAGGACACTCCCACTTCACTCTCTTTCAGCTCGCCTGCGCCCGTGGCCCTGATGCACACTGAGGCCCTGAGTCCCAAACTTCGGACATGCCGGCGGCCGCATTGAGTAAGGAGATGGGAGGTCGCGGGCCCGGACTGGGAGGCTCAAGCACATCCTGGCGGCAAAAAGCCTGAAACCTCACCGGAAAGTGGCAGCTCTGTCTCCTCGTCTCGGGGAACTGGGAAGGCCGTTGTGCTGATGCCTGTCACCTCCCACGCAACTCTGGCAGCTGCCGCGCCTACACATCCCTGCATAATTTGGACGACCTCCGCGATGCGCTGAGCGAACTCGATGTAGTCCAGGAGGCCATCTGCATTCGTGTCAGACAGCTTCCACCTGACAGCCACCAGAGCTTTGCGGGAATTGGCCCTGCGACTCCGAGGACGGCACAGCCACTCCAGCTGCTCAGAGCGGAGGCCAAGCTCGAGGCTGTTCACCTCCCGGAACCAGACGTGACGTCAACTTTGTTAGCAGTAAACGGCACATCCGCAGACCTCACACTCAAAAGGAAGCTCCGCATATGCACTGCTTACAACGGGAGACTTCAACAGACTCGAGGCATTCCATTCGCCACGTCTTCGCAAGATTCTCCACATCACCAGATGCACATAGCTACACATACTAAGACATCCGATGTCTCACGGAATTACCACCTCACACCACACTTCCACGAAGCAGAGCTGAAGCTGTTTGGCACGTACTTCGATCCCATCCGAACTCCGTAGAACGGAAGTGTTGTTTGGCAGGTAGCTTTCTTTCAACAAAAGAGTGAGGCAGCCAACCAGGAAGACGCTGCTCGAAGCTTCGACTCCACAACTCCACAACTGCTTGGAATTCCGCGTGAGAGTGCACAACGGATGCTGTTCTTGCAGGGCCCTTAGCCCTAAAACCCAAACCCTGGAGGGCCGCACCAGCGTGAAGAATTCGCTCTTCTGTGCCCGTCGGTCTTTGGTGACCAGGTCAAAGGCCTGGCTATGCTCTTCGTTCTTGCGGCCTTGAAATATAGAAAAACATATTACAGCACAACATAGTTTATAAAGCATTATAATGGTCGAATATAGTATCAGAAATAGAGTACAATCTAGCATAGTGAAGTAGAACATAGTATAATATAGTATGTTAGAGTATGGTAGGGCATGATAGAGTGTAGCATAGTATAATATATCATAGAATAGTATAGAATAGTAAAAAGAAGTATGAAAACCTATAGAATACACTAGAATAGTATAGAACACTATAGATAGTAAAGAATAGTAAAGAATACTAACAAAGTATAGCAGAACAGAGCATAGTATAGACTAGTGTGGAATAGTATAGAACCGTGTAGTATAGTGAAGAAACATATGGAGTAGCCAAGAATAGCACAGAGTAGAAATAGTATAGCATAGCATAGTATAATATAGTATAATGCAGAAATAATATTGAATCGCATAAAATGGTATAGTCTAGTAGTGTATTGTATTGCGTAGAATAGTATAGTGCAGTATAATATAGTACAGTACAGTACAGTATAGCATACCATAGTAGAGTAGAGAAGAGTACAGTGGAGTAGAGGCGAGTAGTGTGTAGTGTAGTATAGTACGGTATAGCGGGGTATGGTACAGTATAGTATAGTATAGCATAGTATAGTAAAGTAGAGCGTAGCGTAGTGAAGTGTAGCGTAGTGTAGTGTAGTATAGTGTGGTATAGTATAGTATCGTACGGTATGGCATGGTATGGCACAACATGGTACACTATAGTATGATACCATACGGCATATTGTAGTAGAACATAGCATACTACAGCATAATAAAGATGGCATCCCTCGCCGACTGCTGTGGGTTTTCTCCTTGCCTCCCGGACAGTCCAACCTTGTCTCCTCAGCGCCTCGGAGATGCAGAAGCATACTGCAGAGCACATATGCATGTAGATGGGTACACACACACACACACAGATACCAATATTTCAATCTGTCATCTATCGATTTAACGATCCATCTTTTCTCTCTACCTATCTATCTATCTATCTGCCCCAGACCCATAATGTGCGCAAGCAATACCGAGAATATCAGTTGTGAGCATGCAGAGTATCGCGCATGGGCAGGCGCTTTGCAGGACGAATGAATGGCTCCATCCAGAATCCGCAGCTCAGTCACTCACGAGAGCTATGCGGCGGTAGATGTCCCTAGCCCACCTGGCAGAATGAGATGAAGCCGTTAGGGGAGTTCAGGGTTACACCAGCACTTGTGTCTAGAGCTAATGCAAGAGACCGAAACAGGCAGCGGCACTGTTCCAAAGGCGCAGCCTTCTTGCCCTGCCAATCCCGTAGCCACGAATGCATCATGCACGAGATTGGTTGCAGGAAAGAACTCTTTGTTACCTGATGTGCTGGCATGCAGAAGTCCTGCTCGAATGCCAAAGCCAAGTCCTCCAAGGCAACGAGCTTCCGCCTGTGGAGGCACCGGTTCTGAGTCTGAGGAGAGTAGCGGTCGCCCTAAACTCCAGTCCAAGTTCCTGCACCCGATTTTCTCCGCAAGCGCTCACGGAGGTCGGCTTGTCTGTGCAAGTGACTGGGCATCTGCACATTTAAGATACAAGGCGGCAGTGACCACTGCGATTTCCCCGTCGCTTCCGGGCACTGCCATGAGATCAACCCAACTCACACCTGCCCAGCGCGACATTCAGCCCGCAGCTGTTCCCGTCGCGCTCAGGCATCAGCATGTTCTAGCTTGCGGGTCGAGCACCTTCCTCATTTATCGAATTAAGCTGGGTGCAAACAGCCTTCTGTTTTGGGAAGGCGCAGAGGTGCGAAAGCTCCTGGCATCAGACTACTTAAAGGATCATGGGACTTAGTAAGTAGGGTTATATAATTAGGGTAACTATACTTATAACCCCTATTTCAGGACTTATAGGTTATATATAATCGGGTAACTATGCCTATAACCCCTATTTGAGGACAAAATAACCTTACTTCCTAGGTCCCAGGATCCTCCAAGTACAAGGCTCTCAGGGAAGAAGGCGCCCTGGATCCTTCAAAGAAGCTGAGGCCGAGGCCTCACCCACCTGGGAAGGCGCTCAGGCCTCGGTAAGCTTCCGACTTCGGTTATGTTCTACTACACTACACTATATGCTATATTCTACTACACTATACTGGGTTTAGGGTTTAAAAGTTTAGGGTTTCGGTTCTACTACACTACTATACTGGGGGAGTAATATACTATATCATACTATACACTGACAGCGAGGATCCGGCTTTTGGAGGCTCAGGCGCTGCCCCCTGCCAGAAGCCGTCAAGAGCAAGCGGCATCTCTTCTACAAACGTATCAGAACAACCTTTGAGGGTTTAGGGTTTAGGGTGTAGTATGATGTAAGAGGCTTTTGTGGTGATGAGATGATGCATCACGCAAGAGTGCATGGTTGTGAAAGTATTGGTATCAGCAAAACTGATCGAAGGACATCTTCTCACGAAGCTGTATTGTTTTGTTCTTCACTGTACTAAATCATTACCATACATTATACCGTACGCTACACACAATACCACACACTCTACCGCACACTATACTGTGCACTGTATTGTAAATCGCACTATACACTGTACCAATACACTGTACTTCGCACTTTACTATACTAGACGCTATACTCTTTACTTTGTAGTACCCAGAATGAGACTATATACCTCTGTACTATACCACTGTATACTCTGGGCTCTATACTATATACTACATACTGTATACTACATTTTCTCTACCATACGATGTACTATGTACGTTGCATACTACATACCACAGATGTAGTATATGCTATATGCTGTACGCTATATGCTGGATACGACTTGCCCGAAACGCACTACATACCATACACCATACGCTTTATACTATGTACTATACACCACACTACACGCTACATGCACTATATATGTATATGCACTAGACACTTTACACTGTACCTTATACTGTATACTGCATGCTGAGTACTGTCTGATTTAGCTGTGCACAGTGTGCCCGGCCCGGGCCTCCGCTGGTGCAGTGGAGGTGCCTTCGGCCTCCGCATCCTTCGCTTCTTCTGGCACTTCGGGAGGATGCGATCGCTCGGCGACCTCCGTGAAAATTGCCAGCACCTTCGGGGTTTCAGGGTTTGCGATTCAGCCACGCGTCTCTCCCTTGGCAATGTGCCACCAGAACCCGTCTGTCAAGCGAAGCAGCCGGCTTCATTTATTGTTTCCGAAGGCAGTTATGGAAGAAACCGGTGTCCACGCTCTCAAAGAACCTCACGCGGACATGCTCTCAGCATGCCTCCGAGAACGCGTCCACCTCGCCCGTAGCAGCCTCAATCACTTTGGCTTTGGCCTCCAATCCAAGAGTCTGCAATCAATCTGAAGACAGCATTCGCCACGAAGTGCCTCTGATGTATCCCATGACACTGTTGATGGACAAAATTCTGCATGACCCAAACATAGTATAGTACCATAAATCCCATAGTTTAGGTATATCAGGTCATGCAGGATTTTGTCCATCAGCCGCATGACCCCACCTGCACAGCCTGCTCTGTGGCCTCCAACTGTGTCTTGGCTTTGACAAGGCCCACCTTCAAGAGATGAGTGGACGCTATTTGTGGGTTTCCGAAAATAGGGGACCCTAATATAGAACCCTAAGTAATCGGATCCTTATTATCAGGACCCTAAAATAAGGTACCCCTAATGTTCGGAAACCCCATTTTTGGCAGCTGACAACCTAAACTTTCAGTGCTCGCCTAGCCTCCTTGTCGCACGAGACCTCCTCGGCCATGTCGAGCTCCTTCTGAGCTTCGTCAAAGGCCGCCTTCGCCTCACAGGGTGAAGGGCTCTGCAAGGCACCAAAGCGCAGGGTCTGCGGCCCCCTCTTTTGGGATCTTTTGGGTCTCGCAGCTCGAGTCTGGCAGCTGGCACAGCGCCTTTGCCATTCATGGCCACCGGGCATGCGACCAGCGGGCAACTCCGCATGCTCTGGCTGGCACACTCAACAGGCAACGCTGACTGGCCTGCACTAGACTCACTAGACTCCTAGACCTGAAACAGCATCTAAGCCACCCTTGCTGGAGCTCATCTTGACAGCTCAAGCAGGGGTTCTCACATTATCTGCACATCACGAGCCGATGGGATATCTTCTCGCGAGCTCGTGATGCACCTGGAGCCCTCATGGGCGTTCCGTCCAGGAATCCGTCTGGACCGAACGAAACTGCACGAAGCAGCAAGGGACTGGTCAGCTGGACAGCAAGTGCTCAGCTTGCAGGCATCACGATCGGGTACTACTTGGCTGGGTCAGGTCTCCGTTGCTAAGGCTTGTCGCAATGTTTCTCTAGATGCAATTTCGCAGCAGCCAAGGCACCCGAACCAGTGAATGATGCCGGTGAAAGCTTCATTAGAGCTGAACTGCTGACAGCACCGCTGCCTCGCAGCAACGCTGGACCAAAGGATGTACGATTCGCACCTCACACGTCTTGGCTTTGTACATTCGGCTGCAGCCGCAGTTCACCAATCGCGATTGTGGGGGGGTGCGAACAGTTGAAGTCACGAGCACATGTGCGGGACAAGGTGGGATGGAAAGCTGCGGCAACCCAGAAGCATGTGTTGGCTAGAGCAGCTCCTTCTTTATAAAGCCCTTCTCCGCCATCAGCTCCTGTGCGACACAGGTCACAGAATACGCTCCCGCACCCGGCTGGATCCCTGAACAGTCCTGCAACTCCACCAAGGAGTAGTCGCTCATGTCAATCCTCTTTTCAAGGCACGGCTAATCGAGCTTTGGGCCCAGGGCATCTGCTGCCAAAACACGACTCTTTATCGTTGCCGTTCTCGTCAAAGGTGTAGAACACGGGCGGGTGGTGGGGCACAAAGTTGAGCCTGGAAGGTGGGAGCACCGGAAGAACCGTGTTGACCCATCAGAGTTTGAGTTCAACTTCTTGCGGATCTAAGGTGCCGAAGCCCCACGTAAGAGTCAGCGTTACCATGCCCAAGGACGAACTTTCGAACCTCTGGCGTCTCGGGTCAGGGACTTTGTCTTGTGACCGATGCAAAGCAGAGCAGATGCCTCAGGCAGTTGGTTCAAGCGTCAGCCGCTGCAGGTGCGAATCTCCCCCTTGTACTTCTTGGGCTCCTTGCCTCGAAAAGGACCGGCTGGGAGTGAGAAATCAGCATAGCCTAAAAACGCTAGAACATCCTAGAGCCCTAAAAACCTTAAAAACCCTGGGAACCCTAAAAATCCTGAAAACCCTAAAACCTTCTTTAAAAAACCCCCCAAAACCCCCCACTAAACCTGTTCAAAAAGCCATGGAGCGCTTGAAGCCCTTGGCAGCCATGAGGTCGTGGATCTGCTGCAAGCTGTAGCGGCCAAGATCCAGCCTCTCCTGCTCTTCGCCGTGCCTGAAGAACTGAAGGAACTCTGAAACTCTTAAATGGGTTTAGGGCTTAGGGAAAACGGTTTAGGGTTTAGGGTTTAGGGACGGAAGAGACTTGGGACTGGCACTCATTGAAGAAGACAAGGTCCGGATTGTGATGCGGGATGAAGTTCACCTTCCCACTCAAGCCGATACCCAGGTCTCTGCGATCCGAACCAGAACCCCGCCTTCAGCCCAACGTAGGTATCAGCGTGGCCGGGCTCCTTGATGAAGCGCCGTGCCTGCGCGGCATGGGCCGTGCCATGGAGGCGGTTTTTGGATGAAAGTGGCCTCAGGGAGTTGATTCAAGCGTCAGCCGGAGCAGCTCCTTGGTGCCGCGTCTCAGGCTTCGTCCCTCCAAGACTTCTCACTTCTCGGGTGCTTTTATGGCGGCCGGGAGGCTGGATCTCAGCGCTCCAAGCTCCTCCAATGGCTCCTGTTTTGTCTTGCTCCTCTGCAGCCTCGCGGCAACTAAAGAAGGACTTGACACTTGTTCCACTCTCTTCCGAGGCTTCCGTGGCCTCCAGGCGCATGTTGAGGAACTGCACCAAGTGATCGGACTTCCAATCTGCCAGCGCTTGAAACACGCCAATGATCAGGAACAGGAGCTCTTACAGGCCTTTCACGTCTGCGCGCAGAACTCTTCCGGACCCGTCATTGGTTTCTAGCTCGATGGCTGGCCAAGAGCCAGCTTGGTAATCCACCTGCAGAAGGCCAGAAACAAGTCTGAGCTTTCCAGAATCGCAGGAACTCCCTTGCTGAACAGAGGGTCGAACTATGCAGGGGGACAGTATATATGTCCAACCATTGCCCAAGCCAGGCGCGATTTTCCAAAAATGCACGCAGAGAGCACGACTTCGGCAGGCGTACACAAGGACTACGCCAAGAAAGCGAGGCGCAACCCCGACATGCACCAGATAGCACCAGGCACTGTGGCGGGAGCACGATTCATCATGTTCTGCAAGGAAAACGGCATGTCTGGAGGACGTGGCTGCAGCAAACCCCAGAGTGTCACCACATTTACACCCCTTGCCTCTGCACT